ATGCGAAAATGGGGGGGGGGGGGCTGCTATGGCGATGTAGCTGCTGATCACGTGTAGAACCACATGATTTCTATATTGCCGTAGCATGCATACAGCAATGTAGCATGTCACTATGTCACCATTGGGTGATGTGTAGATGGACCTTATATGCAAATAACTACAAGTCTGTTTATTTTAAGGTAGGTGTTTTCAAATTTGCTCCTAACTTCCATGTGCTCAGGGAGAGCAAGGTCTGACAGCAGAGGATTGGGGGGTGGGAAGAGGCTGCAAGGGGAAAAAGGGGAAGAAGTTGGGGGGCAGAGGGCAAAGGGTCTGCCTGCCCCCCTACCAGCTTTATTTCCCCTGCTCTAGCAGTGGGAAGTGGAAAAATTCAAGGCAAACCTTCAATAAATTAAATTCTGTACCTGGAAAATTATAACAAATTCACAAATCTTCCATATACAGAATCTAATTACTGGGGGAGTCATTTTTTCAGGGTCACTTTATATTCAAGCAAATATAGTACCAAGGATTTTATTTTAGGGAAATGCACAGAAGTGACTTCTTCCCTTACTTTTGTGTATTTTATTCTACTAGTCATACTTCACTAAGTTCAAAATACTTGCTTTTCAGTTCAACTGATCAAAGCAAAAGAAGAATCAAGCTTATTGTGTCATATCTTGCTTCCCTACTTGTCTTAGGCTACATATTTAAAAAAACTAGTAGGCTTTTTCTATTTTTTTAATCAAGAAAAGACATTCTCAAATTTATTGTGATACAATTTGAAAAGAAAAAACCTTTTGATCAGAACAATCAAAAGTCAAGAGGGAATGTTCTGACTCCTGGCTTAAATTAAATGTATCATTTTCTCTGTAAAGATTAGAAAATTCTTGATGTTATAAGTCATAATGTATTTTTATACACAGTTTAGGTAAAAGCAAACAAAGAGAAATCCCTAGCCCAAAATAAAAATAAACCCATACACAATACTATATAATACACTAAATTTAAGATTTAAAAAAATGTACAAATGAATATATATATATACACATACACACAGTATAAATATTATATAAATATAATTGTTCATTTGTACATTGTAATATCTATATATATATCTTTTTTCATTGTTCTATAGTTTAGAGTATATTAGTTTTCATTTTAAAGTGTTATACCTCAACAGGTGCATATTTTGCATTAATTAAAACAAATTTAAAGTATACAAAAACTCCCATGTTAAATAAAAAGTGCACTAATGCAATGTTGCACCTTGAAAAAAAATGCTACGAATGGGAACATTTAGACGACATTTTCAGAAAGTTAATGAAATTACAATGTATGGAAATGCAAGCATGCATAGTTTAAGGTTACATACGTCCATTTTGTCTCTCTTCAGTCTTCTCTCATTGAGTTGGGGAACAAGTTGCAGCAAAGGATGCAGGACAGACGACTGAGAGGACATGAACAGACACATGAGCAACAATGAAACCCTGGCCTTGTGATGCAAAGAATGTCTCTTACAGCAATACTGGTTTATGGACAGAGCATGCAGAACAAAGGACAGAAGATGTTAATTGAGAAAGGTTATTTCACTGAATACTCTGCATTAATACCCCAAAAAGTTGGCATGTTTGTTTTTGCCATGAATGGAATTCCCAGAGAGGTGACACGAAGGGCAATATGTATCCCCAGCCTTGATCATAAGTGTCTGTTCATATCATTTTCTTAGAGAGAACTCCCAGCTCTGACTATGATCAGCCTGTGAAAAAGCCAACTCTGCACTTTGAATCGAATGAACTGTACAGAGAGGCTAGGGACAGACATTCAAAAAGCCAGAGCCTGAATTGATTCAATTTTTGCAGGTTAGTCTAACCTGCCTAGATTGAAACAATTTGCAAGTGAATAGACTTTCACTTTTAACTCAGGAAATGCAGGCACATGCCTGCAGTGGCTCAGGCCAGAAACGGGACGGCAATAGAGCCTGCCCTTAGCTGCAGGGAAGCTGTAATGGGAGTGTGTGGCGAGGCCCAGCAGTAGTTTCAAGTGAACTGGCCGGGGCAAGGGCTTAATTCCCCCCCTTCCTGTGCCACCAGCACAGACCCGAATTGGGGTCTGCCTGGCACTCCCTCCTCACTGCTGCAAGGGCAAGGGCAGGGGCAAGGGCATGGCCAGAGGCCAGACGGTATGGGCTCCTGAGGCAAAGACTGCAGAGCATGCTGGGATGCTAGGGGACTCTGGTTTAACTTAAACCAGGAAGGTGTCTGGGATAGAAGTTCCATAAACTGGTTTGGGCTCATTCAGTTAAGACTGATACTACATTCAACCAGGTTTTTCGCAAACTGTTTTCAGCCATTGTGAAACTGGTTTATGTGCACTGAACTTATGTTCTGTTACAGGTTTAAACCAGTTTCTGATCACTTAAATCAGTTTATGTGTAACTTCTGTTCCTAGCCAAAATGTTGTGGGGAAGCTTTCCTATTCCACATCTAAATACTACCCACTCTGTGGGCACATCTACACGTGCCCCGTACTGCGCAGTCATTTAGCACTTGCTTGCTTTAATACTGAGCAGTAGCAATGAACAACAGCCTGTCAACATACAGCCAACTGCACAGAGAGGGCCTTGGGGAATGTGACTCTAGTGTGGGAAGCAAGTCTTAAATTATAATTACCAATATTTGTATCTAAACCACATTTATGTATAAGACAAGAATAGAGCATTTCTGATATACTACTAATTACTCATATACAAAGAAGCACAACAAAAACTGAACTGATTTTTAAATTACTATTGTTACAAAAATTACAGAATATTTAATAAGCAAAATTACATGTTGCCATTTTTTACATTTTCATTTATATAAAATAAAATTATTATTAAACATATAGTGCTTCATGTAGTAAGAAAAATCCCCCAAAATTAAAGATTTGCTAAAGTTCCATAGCTATCAAAGTACTAACATCAAACTGATTGTCATGAATAAATCCAAAGCAGCCCTATATCCCCAGTACATTGACTACAGCTATAAAATGTCATTGAAAGTTTAGAACATTGTGTTCTAGTAAAGATTCAAAGTATTACCAAGGGAAACATACAGAACAAGACAATAATGGACAACAATGTCATGTCAGAATAAGCATTCAAAGTGAAATGTCTGAATAAAAAAAAAACATGTTATGAATGAACTTTGTGGTTTACTACAGTGTGGTCCATTAATTAAATTAGGAGATTTTCATAGATTCATTGATGCTAGGGTCAGAAGGGACCTCAACAGATCATCGAATCCGATCCCCCGCCTAGGCAGGAAAGAGTGCTGGGGTCATATGACCCCAGCCAGATGCTTGTTATTTTTATACTATTTTATGATATGTATTTATTTATTAGATGCATATGCCACATTTCCCCAAAAGGCTCTGCAGATAAAGGCATAAATTAACATTTGTTAACATCAGTCTCAAAACAAAATTTTAAAAAACTTCTAATCTGACAATTTTTTCTATTTTCTATTCATCACAAAAAATAAAAAATCATAATTATCTTACCAGACTTTGCCTAACAAATGCTTATTACATATATTTAATAATTTTGAACATTTGTGGCCAGGGCTTCAGTAGGTTTAAGTTAATGTAAATCCACTAACTCCGGGGCCATTTGGTACACATTGAGGATTAGGCACAGAAAATTTTATTTTAATAGGTTAGTTGTATTAAGTATGCTTTTATTAAAGCCAAACACAAGAATTGATCAAAATTTGAAGTTTTTCCTGAGATAAACCTGTGTCTTGTGACATTCCTCCTAAACACTGATGGTACAAATATTTTTTGTTTGTTTAATACCCAATATTAATTTCACTATGTTCATTCTTTTAAAAAAAGACATTTTAAAACAAACTCCAAACTCTGAACTCATTCTCCAACTAGACAGACTACCAAAGCTACTTCAGGGAGAAATGCTGTGTTAAGTATGGGCACACAGTTACTCAGAAAGGGGTATGTGCAACTTACCGTGATGTCTGAGTTGCCTGAGTCATGACTCTTAGAATAATGAAATAAGAACTGTTCAAAAAAATTAAAAAGTGGGGTTTTACTACCAGACAAGTTAATGGGTTATATTTTTTTGAGAATTTGTGTCCCCTTAAAATACATGTGGAAATCTTACCCTTTTGGTATTGTCTTTTTCATCCAAGCCCTGTGGGAACAATAATTGGGAGAGATGCTATTACTGGTATAGCATGTCCAGATCAGTTATATTATCATTATCTTGTTCCTTACTTTGAATATCATATCATATTGATAATTACATTTCTTTTGTTATCATGCCTGTTTTCATTTCTCTTTTACTGTTCAGAAAAGTAGGTTTGTAGTGCTTTTGACATTACTATAATTACAAGGAGTACAGTTTGAACTCCCACTTTTAGCAAAAATAAATTACTAATCATGGGGGAAGGTAAGAGACTCCTTTTTCAGGTAAACAAAGGAACTGGTTCATTTCTGTGGTGGGCCCTGTGCAGAGGTACAACAGTTTCATAAACTGTATTCTTGGTGGAAACATAGATCACTTCCCAAACAGAGGGCTTTGTCTAATGGGGCTTTCTGCTCAATTTAGAGGACTTTGGATCAGGCCCACAAAGCACTGCACACAGATTTTCCCATGCCCTGAATAACACCAAAATTACACAGAGCATGGAGCTGAAGATTGTGGCAAAGATGTCCTGTTTGCATGGATCCTCAGAATTTACTGTCAAGTTTCAGGCTTTAGCATAATGAAAATCATGCTTCAGAAATACAAAACAATTTTTACCCTGCATTACCTGCGGTTTCTGTAGAAATCCCATGACAATAAAGCAAAGCTCCTCCAATACACTGGGTACCTAATAAAAAGGAAATATGATTTCAAACACCAGATTATGAATTTAACCACATTTAGAACACAACATTAAATAAATAACATCTCTGTAACTGGGCTCACCTGAGGATCTGTGGATAAGTAAGAAGAACATGCTTCAACTATCTGTAAAAAATTAGATGTTTTTCTTAGAAAGTCAGACTTAGAAGCGAACAAAATATTTTTTTTCCAAACAGTTCAATGTAGCAAAAGGTATTGCACAGCTATCAAAAACAGGCCACTGGTGTGTACTTTGAGTGTACTGAACGGGAAAAACCAGTTATTTTCTTTTCTTTCTCTCTGGCCAGGTGTAAACATTATATTTTTTTCCCATTTAGGTGGTTGGAAACTGGTCTAAACCTGTAAAAGAACACACCAGCCTACAGAAAAATGGTGGTCTAAGATAAACCTGGATGGATGTAGTATCAGACTTAATTGGTTTAGGATAGACTGATCTATTGAACTTCTTGTCCCAGATCCCCTCCCAACTCAAGTTAGGTCGCAGTCCCCTGGCATCCCAGGAGCCTTTGCGGCTCTCCTGTTAACCCCCAGCTTGCAGAGCAGGCAACTTAGGTTTGGCCCGCACTCACCTACTCTGGCCAAGCAGTGGGCCAGCCCTGCCCCTGCGATGTCACAGAGATGAGGCAGCAAAGCCTCTGCTCCCCAGCCCTGTGTCCTGCTTGCACCTGTTGGCCAGACCAGGCAACAGGGGGGATAGGGTGGCCATTATAGAGGACAGTCTGATTGTCCTCTGTCCTCTATTGAAGCCAAACTGGATGCCTTTATGTCCTCTATTTTTCTCTTGAAGAGAACCCCCAGCCTTCTGGCCTCAGCCAGTGCAGGCATCTACCTGCGTCCTCCCACCAGAGGGAAAACGTATGTTCCCTTTGCTCCCAATCCAATCTATGCAGCTTAGAGAAACTTGTGTAGATTAGATTGATTCTGTCTTGGGTTTTTTTGAATGTCTGTATATAGCCACTATGTAAGTATACTTTTTATTAAAAAAAGATTTTAAATGAACAACCATGATGTGTGCATACCTAATCTCAGTAACCATCTGATCATCTTTTTGTACCCATCATCATTCTACACCAGTGATTCTCAACTAGGATGCCATGGCACCCTGGGATGCCTTGAGATTTTTTCAAGGTGGTGTGCCACGCAAAGTTAGGACTATTAGATGTACAAATGTGTTTCATAAGATAAACCCAGAGATTTCAAACAGGAATCCACAGTGTTAAAAACATTTTGATACTGTTGTGGTCTTTCTGAGTTCTTTACAACAGATGAATTGCTATATTATTTCTCTCTAGTCAAAAAAAGAATGAAAACTAAGACCTGGCATTTACCAAGGGGTTCATCAAGTCTCCTGAGGGATATCTTGAGTCTAAAAATGTTAAGAACCAGTGTTCTACACCCTTCCTGTCCCATCGTTTCTGTCACCTTCATTCTCTGAATCATATCTTAAATGCTGATAGGGCCAAACTTGTGAATTTCCATATGTTCCTGTCCCAGTTTGGAAGTTCTATAAACATACAAATAAAATGACCATGTATGTAGAGAGTTGTATATCTATATTTAATGGCATATTTAGTGCCCTGGAGAGTGAATTCCAGGTGCCTTGGGGACTTGTATATCATAAGACCTTGTGAGAACTATTCTGAGGTGTGCCTCTTTGGGTCCACTTCTACAAGACACCAAGTGCACCCCCAATTCCCAGGGGCATCAGTGATTTTAGTGGTAACTGAAAAGGCTCACTACTTGCAGGAGTGCTTTAAAGTGGACAGTACACAAATTACAATGCCTAGGAGCAACATATTCCATACACTCCAAGGACGCGGAATTCAGAAAGTAGTCCATTCTTGGGAGAGTCACCAATTGTGCCATAACATAGAACACAAATAATAGGAAAGGACACACAGCTATTGATAGATTCAGTATTAACCCACGAGAAAGAGAGAGGAAAGGGAACTGTGGAGCATCCACATTAATCTGAAGTAATTATTTTTTCAGTAAAGAAAGATCAAGCATACCTGAGAAAGACAGAGAGAGAGGGGAAAGAACAAAATAGTCCAGAGCAGAGGATCAGGATTTAAAACTATAGGACTAATAGGATTAACTTTCCTTTAAAATGTTTGTGCATTACAACTAACTTCAGTGTATGCCATTTTTTCTCCCCTCAAGTATCCTACATTCTTTGTCCAGACACTAAATACCTTTGGCAATCATTCTATTATTTACAGATTGTGTCCCAAGGAATAAGTTTGCGAAAAAACAACAGAATAGCTCTTATAATTCTACCTGAAAAGCTCAATATATTACTCCTTACTAAGGACACATTACAAAGAAGAGATGCAAAATATATTTGCTTGAGTGCTTTACAAGAAAAAAGTGATTTTCAGAAATCTGAAAATATAATTCCTTTCCTTTCCTAAAGTCAATATAGAAAGGGCAATGTACATAGAAGAGGAGGAAGGATCTATCCCAATTTGTCAGAAGTATTTACAACTGGAGGTGTCAATGGAAAAAAGACCAGTTTTTCAGAACCATTCCAGTCTATTCTCTGCTTATGATCATGGATGGCTTCATTTGTTAGGATTGATCAATAGGATTGATAGGATTGTTTTGTATCATTCAGTAGTTCCATATTTGGGGTAAAAAAATAAGTTCTGAGAATAAGGAATTAAAAAAAAAAAACCCTCCATGACTCAAGCTGTCAAGAAAAGATGGCAACTTCTCTTAAAATTCTTCCCTGTGGTTGGGATCTTAAAGGAGTATACATAAAGATACATAACAGTATGCAGCTAGCCTATCAGATACTCACCAGAGACGATCTGTGCTACAATACCTGCCCTGTTTACAGTAAAAGAATCAGCCGCAACTGTCAAAGAATAGCAGAATATTATTGCATCATGTAGTTGATCCAAAACTTGATAATGGTATTGCTGCTTACCTCATTCCACAGCTGCAAATCTTGCTCTGCCTGAAAGGTTTGAGATGGGACTGGTACACCTGGAAATAGACACAGTGCTTACTGATAAGAAAGAAAGAAAGAACAAGGGCTTTTTATACAGTTAATCTACTACAGTTTTTTTTCCTCATATATAGCAATATAAACTATTCAAACTCCTGTTAGGCACTCTGAGGACTTGATGCTTAAAGACACTCTAAAACACAGCTCCTATTATATCTTTGCACGACTAAATGGCACTTGTGTAGCTACTTAAGTGTTATTTGTGGGGTTTATGTGGAGTTTGGATGCCATTTGTACCTGCATAGCTGCTCTGGCTCTATGCTTCCCTCCTAACAGAGAGGGATGCTGCCCTGGGAGGAGTGGGCCCTGGGCTCTGACTCCAACCCCTAATTGACTTCTATACCTTGTATTTAATATTTCTTGAATAATTACAATAATTATTTGTAAAAACAAAACTTTTCTTTCATTTTGACAAGAAAAGGCTGGGTTTGACTTGAAATGTTCTCAGATTCAGGGTGGAATTTCTGATTAAAGGCATACACACGCACCAAGTCAGAGACAGCCCTGAATAATCAGGTGTTCAGTGTATGCCTCTGGGACAGGGGTATATAACTCATCCAGCTTCTCTGTTCTAAGATATGATACAGAAAGGAGAATCCCTTTTCTTCCATTCTTCTCCCACACCCTAGGTAGGGTTGGCTGGATGAGGCTGTGCTGCCCACCTGGCTACTTCAGAATGGATCCCTCTTTTTCACAAACTAAAAAAAAGCTTCAGTTTTATCCTAACATTCTCTAATAGGGAAAGTTTTGCAGGATAGGAAAGCATTTTCCACATTACCTTGATTTTCAGGATTTGTATTTGTGAGAGGGAACACATCTGAGCAATCTTACCTCAAAGCAAATTGTTTGTTAAAATTCTCCCAATGATTCTGTGTGTGTACGTATATGTTTTAAAATAATGTTTCTAAGTATGGGCATTTTCTATATTCTGGGCTTTAGTTAAGTGGCTAGAGGAGGGAATTATTTGGAGAGTGAAATGAAGAAGTACTTCAAATAATCACACCTTTTCCAATAAATCTTTGCCTTGCAGGGAAAGAAAATTTTAATCAATGCTCTAGCTCCCTCCTCCTTCCTCTCAGGGGGCACATCTACACATGCATTTAATGTAACTGAATATACTGTGGTTCAATTTGAGCCAAAGTAAACTAATCCCAACATCACCATCTACACGTGCGTTTAAGCGCAGTAATTTACTCCACCATCAGATAGTACCTTGTGTCTGATGGGACTATCCTATACGACAGTAAATTAATCTACTGCATACTAATTGTGGTGCACATGTAGATGGTGATGCTTTCCTGCACATTAAATTAGTCTAATGTGCAATAAAGTGCGCATGTAGACGTGTCTAGGGCTTTTCATATGAAGCAGAAGGAAAGCTGAAAAGCTTTTAGCACAAACCAGTAAAGCTTAAGTATGGGTTAGATTTCTTTTTGCCAGTACCAGAATCTTTTGAGCAAATAATGTTTCACCAACTTTTCAGTTTTCTTACCCCAGCTCCTCTTCCCAAACTGTTACACACTATCCATGCTCTCTGGTTATATGCCCTCAGCAGCCACTGTCAATTCTTTAGCCACTGCCCTTGACCTCCCCATTACCTCATCTAGCACTGTTCTTGTAAACCAGCAATGTAAAAGATATGGCCTGAAGAGCTGTGTCATCTGGCCTATGGGGTTTCTGGAGTGTCTAGGAATTCAGGGACAAGGCAAGCAGAAGCAGAACCTACACCAAATTCTGGGGTATAGAGCTGCATCAGGGATGCGCTTTGTCTGGGTGAGCAATGGCTCTGTTAATTCTACAACCCCTTGAGCTGATACAGCAACTCAAGAAGCCACAAGGATTAATTGCTGCCACTGCTCACCCCACTGCCAGAGATGGGTCTGGCCTGTGAGGAGCCCCATGGTCTAGATCTCACCCAAGGAGCCAAGCAAGCTTGACTTACTAGCTAGACTTACCTGTTTTAAACCATAAGGATCTCATTTACATATGGATGAATGTACACACGTGTATGTACACACAGAGATCATATGCTATTTTACTTTTATGTGGGTAAAATATCTGTGTAGATATATGTAGAAAATTAAGCACTCTGACCGTTAATCAGGAAAGCAGCCTTATTCAGAATGGGCACTTATGAGAAAATCCCAGGAAAAGCAAATTTGTTCTCTCTTCCTGTTTTGCCATCTTCTCATCCAAACAACTCTGGTCCTGCTACTTAATTGGGTACCACACTCACAATCCCAGCCCTCCCCTCTTCCCCATTTCCTACCTCTACTTCTCTCTCAGCACAGGATCCTCACACTCTCCCTTGGTTTTCTCCTTTCACAAGATATGCCTTTCCCATCTTAAAAAAAATGTACTCTACTTATCTCTTCAATTACCATCCCACCTGCCTTTCCTTTTTCATCTCTAACAGCAACAAATGCACTATTTACAGTTATTGGTAAGACTTCCCCTCCTTCAGTTCCATCCTGGTTTCTCATTATGGCTTCTGGCCCTTGCACTCACTGGAACTGCTCTTACAGAGATTATAATGACCATTCCCTATACCAAGGAATTCAGACTCAGTGCTCCAGTCTCATCCTCCTTGCTATCAACCACCTCTAAAACTGCTGACCATGCTTTTGCCTTTTTGAAAGCTTGTTCTTCATTGGCTACTCTGGTCTTCCTGCCTTTCTTATTACTCATACAGAGGATCCTCCTCATCCCCTCCCTCCCAGCCTCCAACTTTGTGTTGAGGTTTCACTGAGTTCTGTCCTTAGGTTTCTTGCCCTCTTCCCTCTTCTGTTGCTGAGTAATCTTCTTTTACAAACACAAATTCACCTACTGCCTCTATACAGATGATTCACAGACCTACCTCACTACCCCGCGTGTCTCCTTTTGTCCAAACAACGATCTCATCCTGCCTTTCTGACTTCTTGTGGATTTTCTCCTTGTGGATTTTCATTTGTCAGCTCAACTCTTTAACGGGAGATTCTCTCGTATTCTGGAGGCAAACCCCTCTGGAGAGACCCTGAACACTGTGGAAGTTGACTAATCCCCTTTGATTAGACTTCTTGATTAACAGAGGGCCTATAAGTCATTCACGGAGGCCTAGTGTGAGCTGTGGTAGGCAGTGCTAGGGTCAAAGCAGAAATCTAGATTCTGCTACAAGAGCACCCTGCTCAAGCTCAGAGATTGAGTGTGCCCCAGGACTCAATGAGCTGACCAGATGAGGAGAGGTTTGTCTGCGAGGGAGGAGGTTGCAACATAGTTAAAAGCAAGAAAGAACTAACCCCATATAAAACCACTCATACGCTAAGTAAAGGAGCAAAAGAAAAAAGAACAGGTAAAAAAAATCCAAAAATAACACCCCCAAAACAAATTTAAACAGAATGCAGGTAGGAGTCCATCACCAAGGTGGCAGCTACACCAAATGCCATATGTCTGACTACACTTCCAGAGAAGAGGTGGCATATATCTCCATACAGTGCAAGAAGCTCCTGGCACTCAAGGACCAAGTATGGTTCCTAAAGTCCAAGATGACTAAACTGAAGCACCTGAGGGAGCTAGAGAGGTTGACAAATGACACCTTCTAGGATATAACTCACTAATATTGCTATGGGCTCATGCACTTGTAACAAAGTATAACAGCTCCTGCAAGCTCCGAAGGATCAGCTCCTTCTCCAATTTTAAAGCCACTCCAAGGGTATAAACAGACACCACCAAATGAAGCAGATCAGCCATGGTGTATGTTGCCCATTGTTCCTTATGTGCTGTGGTGCATCTCTGTAAACAGGAAAAGCCACAGTTCTCCACTAACAGAGACACACCTCAGAGATTGCCTGAGGTATGGCTCTCCAAGTGGGAAACCCCAGCTTTTCCCTCTTACAGAGATGTGCCTCAGGCAATCTTCAGGGCATTTGGATAAGTCCAAACTGATGCCTGTGGGAAAGAATAACCCAAAGCATACAGACATGATGATAGACTATATTAACTATCAAGAAAGAGACCCTGGAATTACTGCGGCTAGTTTTCTAAAAACATCACCCCAGTGTTCAGCAGAAGTACAAATGGCAAATAGAGGGTTGAAGAGAACTGATAAAACAGAAGACAACATTATGTTGCTGTATATCAATATCCAGGGTACGCCAACTGTCGCAGGGCACTAAGGTGCCAGATAAGAGCCCAAGTGCAGGTTGCCATGACAACTGACTAATGAGGGAATTGGCCACATCTATACCTGGTTAGCTGGCCGGAAGAGGCAGGGCCCTAAGCCCATATAAACCCTTGGGCTGGGACCTAGCAGTTCAGTTCCCTCCTGACAGCTGAAGGGGAAGGAGCCTTCAGGGAGAAAGGGCTTAGAGATGCTACAGCCATGGGATACGCTACCTTTAGGGCTAATGGGGCACCAGGAGCTCATAAGGTACCCTCGCCTCCAGTCACCCAGTATTAGAGAGGGAGTTTTGCTCTTTTAAATGGACAGAGCATACCTTGCACTTTGTTATGTTATAGCCCAGGGGCTTATGTTTTGTTTGCTGTTTTATAAGACCGGTGGTTTGGGTAAGGCTATTTGAGGAAGGAGGAGGCCTCATTGGGGGCACACTGCAGTGTGGGGACCCTGATGCCAGAGGGTGCAGCATTTGGGGGCACAGACCCCAGCACCAGAGAGGGCGCAGAGATGGGGCTGCGGAGAGCCCACCACTGAAAGGCGCAGAGACAGGGCTGCAGAGAGCTCAGCAAGGACAAGGGGCCAAATTCTAACGAGGCCTAGGCAAGATGACGCCAATACCATCTGCAAGGCTTGGGGCATGGTAAAGGGGTGGTTGGAGCCACACATATAGCTCATAAGGCTGGGTTATCCAGTGACATCTATTTTGAAATGGGACTTACCGGGCCCAGGGAAATCCATCAGAACCATGCTCATACAGACTTAAAGGCAGTCTGCCTATATTAATTATTCCAACAAGACGTGGTGGGTGAGAATGGAGAGTGTCCATCGGGCCGAACTGGCACGGTCAAGGGGCCTTAGGGGTAACACAGCCATCCTTGAGGACCCTGTCCCATGACACCAACACTTTGAATACCATGCAGTTCTGCTCCCTCTCCCCATCTCCAGAAGAATATAGTAGAACTAGACAAGGTGGAGAAAACAAAGATGATCAGGGATATATACTTCCGTACAAGGAGAGATTAAATTGACTAGGACTCTTTAGCTTACACAGAAGATGACTGAGGGGACATGATAGAGGTCTATAAAACTACAAATGTGGGCAAGAAAGTAAACAGAGATTTACTAATTACCATCTCTCATAATAGCAAACCAAGGAGCTATACAATGAAATTATTAGGAAGCAGGTTTAAATCAAAAAGAAGTTGTGGGACTCTGCCACAGAATGAAGCTGGAAATTTAACCAGGTTCAAAAGAGGATTAGACAATTTCATGCAGGATAGCTCCTGCATGTAATAAATACCCAAGAAGTAAACAACAGCAACAGCTAAATTAAGACTTCCTCAATGCTGGAAGCTGCATGGGAAGAGGGGCAAGAGTCTGATCAGTCTGTAGGATGCCAAACTCACCTGGCTGCATGGTGACATAGGGCTGGTCCATGGGCCAGATTAGGCCCATGGACCCCCCTGCCCACATGCCTTATCCAGCACAGGTGGCACCTGCCCAGGCCAGTCCAGGACAACAGTCCCAGCAGGCAGTGCAGCTCAGGACCCAGCCCTAGCTGTTGGGGCCAGTCACAGGCTACACCTCACAGGGGCTGGGTTCCAGGCTGCACCACTAGCTTGGGCTGGGTCCTGGGTTGCGCCATTTGCATGACCTGCTGAAGCATACGTGAAGCAGTTCAGGACCCAGTCGCAGCAGGTGGTGTGGGCAGCGCAGCCCGGGACCCAGCCCCAGCAGGTGGCTTCACTTGCTGCTGGTGCCAGGCTGTGCTGCCTGCACTGAGGCCATATCCTGAGCTGCACCGATCACGCTGCTTATTGAGGTACAGCCTGAAACCTGGGTTGACTGAGTGCCATAGGCATGTGGGGGGCGCTGTTCTGGTGCAGAAAAAGAGACCACACCAGGAGCTGGATTATAGGACTCTGTGGTTCAGATCCAGCCGCAGGCCTTATACTTGACACCCCTGGTACAGACCCTGCATATATACACTTCCCCTTAGCATCCCCTCTGTGCCACTGCAACACACACAATACTGGGGTAGACCTGGGGTCTGACCCAGTATATCATCCCTTATGTTCTTATTCTTCCTGCATAACATACATTTCCTGTTTATCCACAGCACCATCTATGTATTTTACGTTAGACTGTCATTGGATATGAAAGGAAAAAAATGAAAATAGTCCTAGGAACAGAATCCAGGACTCCTCACTCGCAGCTAATGCCCCTCGGCAGCCTAACACCAAGACTCTTGCTTTCCTAACCCCATGATTCTTGAATTCTTGCTTTAACAGTGACCCAACATTTTCAACTGGATAGCTGCAGGACATTTAACTCTCACAGTCTGTTCTACAGCCTCAGAGTTAGGTTGCTGTCCTGGGATGGAAGAAAACTATTTTTGAATCCCCTCAATCAGTTATTTTCAGGGATTTAGGCATCAACTGCCTCATATCTGTATGACAGGTGAAGCTTAGGTGGGGGCTACATGCCAAGCTGTTCCCAGTGGAGCACTTCTGCAGCTGCTAACAGAAATTGCCTTTGTACCTACCACCATACAAATTTTTATGGTGGCACAAAAACTAAGCAAACAGACATCCAGTCCCCTTGTCACATCACAAATTCTCAAAACTGCAGCTGAGACAAAGGGGATAAAAAATTGTGCTGCTTTTTTGCAGCGGATGTCTGTTGGCCTTAGGGTATTAGGGTGTGGGTAACCTGGAGCTGCCTGAACTCTCCAGCTGCCCCAGGCAGGCACTCCCAGTACTCCAATGGCCTGATCCTGCACACCCCAGGACTTCCCTGCAGAATCAGGCCCAGGCTTTCCTGCTTGCAGAGGTACACATATATTACACTGCCATGCCCCGACTCGGGACAACAGATGTCATCTGTATCATCCAATGAAGCGGATCAGCTGTGCTGGATCACATCTCAGCATGGCTGATCCCACTCCCAGGCTGACATCTGTTTATAGCCCCTGATACTGTGGAAGCTTCAGGTCAGGTGGATAATCAGTGTTGTGTTCATGGGAACATGGGTATTCTAGATTTCTTTTAGTGATTTAGGCATCTGAAGTCACAAAGTCATAGAGAAGTAAGGCTGGAAGAGACCTCCAGAGGTCATCTAATCCAACCCCCTGCCTGAAGCAGAATCACCCCTATCCAATCCATCCCACATAACCATAATCTAAACTCTACAGATGACTACCCTTAATCCTGACACAACACAAACCTAACTCTCTAACCTACCACGGGTAAAAAAGGAGAAATGTGGCAACCAATGTCCTACTTCTATGAAATGTTTGTTGATAGTATGATCAAGAAGTCCTAGGCAGAGACTCCCCACTAATGAGGAAGGCAAAACCCCCCACCATCTATAACAGTCTCACCAGGGGGTAAAATTTCTTCCTGACCCCAGATATGACAATCAGTCTGACCCTGAGCAGGGGGACAAGACCCTCTAGCCAGGAACCTCCAGCTTTGCTCCTAGCAAGAGAATCAGCATGCCCAAGTTGAAGTCCACAGCCTTAGCTGCAGCCAGTGCTTGGTGCTTCTGGGGAGGCTTAAAAACACCCTGGTACATACAGCAGAAAAAAGAGAGTGGGGGGGGGAGGGGGTGAGCAACCAGCAAAGCCCAGGAGCATGGGAAATACCTATGGTAGACAATGGGGATAGCTACCCCTAGATCATCCTTGACCAGTGGCTGTCCAGGCTCTTGAGCACCTCCAGTGATGGCAGGTGTTCCAAAAGTCTGTTCCACTGCCTCACTATTCTCACATTAAAGAAGTTTTTCTTCTTCTCAGATCAAAATTTACTCTGCTGCAACTTCAAGTCTACCTAATTTTGTTTAGACACCTGGTTTGCCAATCCCATATAGCCACATTGAAGTACACTGTGAGAGAGTATAGTGTTAACTCACACAATGCTATTGTTTCACTGGATTTAGTGTGGTTTTCTTCAAGCCCCAACTTCAGGGTGTATGTGACTATATCACAGTCTTCTTGGCAAAAAGCCTGGAAACAGTCTAGAAGCATTTGAAAGGATTAAAAACAAGCTAAAAGTAATGCATTTATTGTTTTAAAAAACTCATGATATTCTTAACCTATGATTTTGGGGGCCTGTTCCCTGATTTTTAAATGCTTGGAGTTTGCAACACTGAATTAAGCACATGCTTAAATACTTTCCTAAATCTGGGCTTTAATTCAATTTTTTTTCATGTTACGTGAAGGAGGGGATGTATGCATATACCATGGGTGAACTTTCAGAAGAGGCTTTGGACTAGAGAGCACAGAATGAGAAGGCAGCTGCCAAGGAGATTTCAAAAGTGTCCAGGAGAGAAACTGGTGCTATGCAGTGTGCAGGCAAAGGAAATTGCTGCTACCATGAGAAGTTTGCAGGAGAACCCCACCATCTTACCAACACCCCAAGATTCAAGACAACAAGCTCTGGGAAGGTGTTCGTACTGATAGCTCTACCATTTAAAGAGTAAATCATTTTACTGGCTGCATTGTCTATGCATGTAAGCCTTACTCTGTGAAAAATGCCTTTGTCATTAGCTACTCTTGGCAGCTACAAATGAAGAAATGTTGAATAAAGTGCCTCCTATTTTTATAGCAGATTTTAAAAAACAATGTGCCCAAGACAAAGGATCAAAAATAGAGCATCAAATCTATCATTTGAATCACTGACTACTTGTAGCACCTTATGCTATAGGGATATATGTATATAAAAAACCCAAAGAAAAAAGAAAAGCATTCAGTTTTAAAAGAGGAAAATGTTTAGAATGGGAAAAAAATGAGTAACTCAATACAGTTATGGAAGAAAATTATTTAGGTTCTGCTGAGCAGTTGTTCCAAGCTTGGAAATGAAATGTGTTAATTTTGATGAGATAACTAATATTTAAATCTTCCTTTAACTGAAACTGCAGTGTTGACTTAGGTGGGGGATCCTACCAAAATATGATCAGAACATTTTCCATCTGTTAAACATATGAAAGTAAAGTAAGTACAAAGTTCCAAATAATTCACCTCTGTTCTGCAGACAGTATTTTACCTGCCTTAGACACTTATTGGGAAAAAATGGTTTTTGTCTACAGTTATCTTGATCCTCACTGTAGTACCCAATTCTGGTTGGTGTCATTAGTGGGATTAGTCACATGACCAAGACTGCAGAATTATACCAGTGCCCCTTTCAATTGTCATTTTTGGCCCCAGGTGTCAAATTTCTTGCTCTTTGTTTTTTTTTTAAAGTATATAATTTGTCATTTAGTAATATACAGCCTATGCACGTAAATTCTGTTTTTCTAATGAGGTATTTATTTTTCTCAACTCCCTAAGACACCAAGCTCTCTTCCACAGGATTTGAATGGGATTTTAAGTCATTTTGCAATGGATTTGGGTCCATGGTCTTCAAGAGAACTATTAAAATATTTTGACTATTCAAAATAATCACAACTAACTAATCAAAATCACTCATATTTCAGCTTCTTAAGGGGTCTAGGGCTCTAGGCTAATAAAAATATGACTACATTAAACCATAGAACACGGTAACCCTTTCCAGCAATCAACTACTCAGAAAAAATCTATCATATCTGCACTAGTCCGGTCCTGCAGGGAGCAAACCAGGAAAGCAAAGGCTGCAACTGAACTCCAACTAGCTTCAAGCATCAAGGACAATAAAAAGTCCTTTTTCAGATATGTGGGGAGCTGGAGGAAAAGCAAGGACAACACTGGACCCCAGCTGAACCAGATGGGA